CGAGCGCTACAACACTCCTTCAGCACCTCGAGCAACGCGAACATCTCCTTCCCATTAATGGAACGCGACAGCCATTCGTGGGGAAAGCCGCCGCCTGCGGAGAATGCGCCACTCGGCAGCGACACTACTCCACCGTATTGGTTGGAGGATGCGTCTGACGAAGCGGTGGTGAGAGAAACGTCGTAGTGCCTCGCTTTGTACCACGGTCCCTCCTGAGCGGTCGATGACAGGTTGAGCCAAATGCGTAGCTCTGCGCGGAGGTCGTGTTTGTCCCTCAACTGAATGACTCGACCCTTAGCCTTCCTGATCGCCGCGAACATGTAATGAGTCCAAAGGGTGGCCGGTCGAATCGCGACAGACATGCTGACGCACTTGCCGGCTATCTTCTCGAGCATGCGCACGGGCACGGAGTCGTTCGCAAGCGCTTGGTCGATGAGCTGATGGAGTTTGAGCAACTTATCCTCCGGGATGCGGAACGATGCGGTGTGGGAATCGCAGATAATTCCGAGGTACCGCTGTTGTCGAGAGGGGTTGAGGTCGCATTTATTGATGGACAGGAAATACCCGCATCGGTACGATACTAGGATGCCGGTGTGTAGAGCTTCCGCCGCCGACAGCCACTGTACTCGATCGGACTTCCCGAAGGTATCGACGAAGTTCGCGTACCAGGCGTCATCGATATACGCCAGGACGGGGATGCCCTTGGACCGCAGGTACGCGGCTTTGGCGTCGCTCAAAGAATGGTAACAAAACGGACTCTCGTTCCACCCAAATGGAAGGGTGGTACAGACGTAATCCACTCCATCGTAGTGGACGCCGAATAGCGGCCAGCTCTCGGGCTGCAGGCGAAGATTATGGAAACCCGCGCGGTCGTCTAGGCTCCCCATGAACACCCCTTCTTCTGCTACGTGTGCCACCCGTGAGACCGTGTCCATCGTAAACGGTACGTGTTTGCAGCAGGTATTCAGGGGGATACCGTTTATAATCATACGGGGTTTGGTTGGCTCCACCGAGATGGACAGGACCAACCGCGGTCTATCCGGGCCCTCCGATCCTCGGACGTCCTCCCACCGAACTAAACATCCCCGCTTGTCCAGCGCTTGCACCTCCCGCCGCACAAATTCGGCATGTTCGTCGGGAATGTGGTTGGGGAGTACGGCCCCCGGAAACGCTGCTGGGCGATATGGTTCCTTACGCGACTTCCCTCGATACTCATCGTGGAGGAATTCGAAGACGCTGACACCGTCCCGAATATATGACATGAGTTGATCGCGCTGGGGATGGTCTCGTAGGATGACCTTGTCCCAAAATTCGTGGTTGTGATTAAGCCCACCCGGTACGAAATGTTCCCCGTTCGCGCCGGCGTCTCTCACCGGGGCGTCCCACGGCAGACGGGTGTGTCCGTCCCCGTGCGGTGGTCGCTTTACTTCTGCCATCGTAGGCACGCGGGCTACGCTCGGCACTAAACGTGGCCCCGCCCATTCGCGTTGTTCGTCGGACAGGTCGGGGACGTCGGGGAACGTAACTCTTACTTGCTCATGTCGTCTCGCGAGATGCTTCAGCCAATCGTCAGCAAATACCTACGTAGTGAGGCGTTGAACGGGGTGCGCCGGTATACGGCTGCATATACCGCGCAGGAAATCCTCCATCGTCTCCTGCGTGCCCTGCCCCAGCGCCAGCACCAATGGCAGCATCATGGTGAACAGAGCTATCTTGTCCTTCCCTTCCAGAGAAGCGCCCTCGTCGGTGCAGACTCGTGCCAGTGCCAGAGTCGGGAGGGCCCCGATGGCCGAGCTCGTGTCGAAGCACACCAACTCTTTAACTGCCTTCCCCGCAGGGGCCGACGCGGCCGCGGCCAGCTGAGCCGCGCTCAGCTGCATGGTAGTCTACTGTTATTCGTGCTGTACGCTTCCTCGTTAGGGTTGGGAAGGCTTGTCACGAGTGGGCGCTCTCTTCAAGCCTTTGTCGCAGATCATCTGTTCTCATCCACGGAACCCCTTCGTGGTTCCATGATTTCGACATTATTTTACCGTTGGAAAAAATGCGGCGAGATGATGCGTTTTTGGTCGGACGCATCAACATCAATCCACGGCACCACGCAGCAGAAGAGCAACAGGGCCTCCGACACGCTAATTCTTTCGGATTGGCCATCTATATGATGCTGGCCGTCAGCGCGGCTGCCGCCCTATGATTGTTGAGCTCGTCTACCTTTGGGCAGGTGGTGGTCAAAGATGGGAGTCGCAACCGTGAAAAATGAACTGGCAAACTGAAGAAATCGCAAGCAACACCCAGGTGGCGACACTCTGCCCTGAGCCTGTTGTTGCTGAAAACTAAAAACAGCAGGCGAGGTGGACGGGATCTTTCTAAGTGTGTTGTCCTCTGTGTCGGGTGCTGCTCATTGCGCTTTCACCACTGCTCTATGGTGAGCAATACCATGTCAACCTGTTGTGTGTCGAGCAAAACGTGTATTCAGGGAAGGAAACGTGCGTTTCGCGATGACATCACGATTAGAACAAGCAAGGGTACTCGTAGAAAAAAATTCAAGACACATAGGCCCACTAATCGAAAATCGTGGTCCGGGGGGGGGGGGGGGGTCATTTGGGGGGGGGGGCGGGGACATATACCATGCATCCCCGGGGTTTATGCCGAGGCGTTGGCGCTTTGGCGTGCCGCTCTATCATGTAGTGTGCATCACCGCTGGCGCTGCTGGCGCTGTGGAGTTGCGGAGACCGCAGAGAGATGGCGGACACCCCGCACACTGCAGGGACGTCTTCGCAGCCGTCTCGTGCATACCCCCATGAGAATCAAGGAGCAGGCGGCAGCCCGCCAGTCGCTCGTGTGGCCGATTGGTCAGAGCAACATGGATGGCAATGTCGCACGTGCCAGCACATATTCGGCAAGCACACGGAGGGCACCCGACACGCGGACGTGGATCGTCACGAGCAGGGAAAAAAGCACAGGTCAGTGGCACCAGACAGAACTGGTTTCCGCTAGTGCAACCAGTCTCGTATTTGTGAAGCATGGGCCAAACATGAGCCTGAAGCAATCGGCTGGAAACCATGGTTCGTCCCGCTGCAGGCGTGTGTTGCAGATCTCGTTTGGTACCAGTAGATCACAGCGGCGTCACCTCGAGTGGCATGCACGGGAGAGGTTATCAGGCTGTGACAACCACTTTACCCTCAAATGTCGATACGTATACAGCCGCCCAAGCCGTTGGGTAGGTCTCAAGCTCAAGGATAACAGGGGTGCTTGATGTGGTGTGGTTTGTCCAAGCTTGGTTTGTCCGCTATATCCGTGGGTTGCCGTGGGTGGCATAAGATACCACCCCCCCCTCGACTGGTTTTCAAAGCTTGCTCTTGCTCAACTATATACTACACTCCACGAGGAGGATGCCAAGTTATTCGGCAGGACCTCGTCGAGGCAACTCCAACGCCTCGCCTTTTTTCGCATCGCCACTCTTTTTGTACTGCTTTGTACTGCTGTAGAGAGCTTAGAACATCGGTCCAGGGGGTGTGGTATCTTGTGTCACCTGCGGTAAGAGTAGCCTAAAGCTGGCGGCAAGGCACTCACGGAACATTGCTGGCGGAATCACCACAAACAAAACAATTCCACCTCGCTTCTTTGTCGCTACTACTGTACAGACTCCGTTCGGCTTGCATTCGCCGATGTTTACAGCAGTGAACTCAAGTTGGTGAACTAGGCCCTGACTCGGGAGATTTTTTTTGTTGCTGTTGTGTGCTGTATCAAGTTGGCTGTAACATCTTCGGCTGAATTTATACAGCAGTGTTGGCAAGCGTGTCAGCAACTTGGTTAGTTGGTATGTTGTGCGCAACACGAAGACTGCTTTGAATCCAAGCTTGTTATTGTACCAGCCAAGTTCCATCGTGAACAAAACTGCTGTCTCAAGTCTGTGTCTTCTGTTGACAAAGCATCATACCACCAAAGTCTTGCTTGCGTACCGGCACCTCAAGGAGATCGTTATCACGGCCGAGCCTGGCCCAATGGACGATGGGTGTTCGTGTGTATTCTGCTTATGGCCTGGGGAAGTTAGCTAACCGGCCACCGTCCTGCACGTGTTTTTTTCTGGCAGCTCCGCGATGACGCAGACAAGTGCGCCACCTCCTCCCAGCAAACAACCGGCGGTGGCAGCAATCGCGAAAAAAAATGGCAAAGGACAATGGATCTGCTCGTGTGGCAAGCATATCCAAAATGGTGACAGGTGGTCGCAGACAAACGTCGACCAGCATGCGAGGGGCCAAGAGCACAGGTGAAAGTCGCGGCGTCCCGCCTACTATTGACGATGTACTTTTTCGTTCACTGGTGTGCTTGGCTGGGCTATTGGTATATTGCGATAAAGGTCGTGCAGGCAAGGGCTCTAGATGATGACAGCTGACACAAGCGCTGCTTCATGCTCCCCCGTGCGTCATCCTCCGGCAACCTATGGTTTGGTGGGTTGCTATCAGAAAAGGAACTGCGAGTGGAGGCAAGAGCAGGCAGACTTCTTTGCTGTCCTTTGCGCAATGTGCGCCCCCTGTAATACACCCGGCTGCTGCGCCGGCGGCGGTGGCGCCGGCGGCGGTGGGATCGACGCCCGTGGCACCCGCGGGGGCTGCACCATCGTGCTCCACGGAGGAGGGGGGTCCCGTTGGCGCGGATACGACCAGTTCGACCGGGGAAGCTGATGACGATGAATGCCAAGTGTTAGGTGTAGAAACACCGCCGGCCTCGTCCACGGCGCAACCATCTACGACATCGACACCACCGCCAGCATCGTCCCTGACGACACCATCTACGACGACGAGACCATCATGTCGCGGGTACATGCCGCAGCTGGAGTTCCCCATGAGCAAGAACTACCCCTTCGGCTTGATCGACGCTGGCCAACCGTGGGTAACGGTGGTACGTCAGGGACATGTGGCTTTGTTCGCGACTGGCGCTGATGGAGGAGCAACGGCGGGGTGTGAAGGGACCGTCGCAAGCAAGGGGGAGAGTTGTGTTCCATGCCAGGCACTGCAGCATCACAGGCTTGTCAAAGGTGAGGTGCAGAGAATTGCATAACGCCGCTGATGGGCGTAGTTTGTGATTGTCGTACGGTGCACTGTATTAGGATCGACTTTGTTGTTTTGCAATTCGCAATTTGGTCGAGCCCAAAATATGAACTCGGCTGTCTGCTGTTTTAAACGTTTCGAGTGAAACCATTTGATTGCCCCTCTCGACGCTTTGCTTCTTGCAGATGTCGTCGAGCGAGCGAGCCGCTCGAGCGAGAGCGAACAGGCGCGAACTCTCAACTACAAGTACACGACAATGAACCAGATCGAGGGCCGAGCGCGGAAATTGTCTGCTTCGAGGGATGCTGCCCGTCTCAAGATGTTAAACCTCAGGAGACTGGCGTCGCGGATGTGCAGAAAGCTTCAGGAGTACAAGAAGGTCATGATATTCCTCGGCGAAAACGACATCCCAGGTGTGCGGCGGGTGTTGGGACAGGCGCTGAAGGATGGCAAGTCGCCCATCGCGATGTTGGGAACGCTCGAGGCCGCGTTTGAAGGGAAATATCGAGCACGCGGCCACACTGAAGACGACTTGGATTTGGCCATCCTCGTGCGGCGCGTTTGAGGTCCCTCTCTGCTATTCTCCTTGTCCCAGGCGCTTTGTCTGCCAAGCGTCAGCAGCGTCTACGTTGAGATGAAGTCGTGGTCAAAGAGACCGTGACACGCACTGTCCTCCGCGAGGGGCCGATGGTGCAGGAGCAAGTGGAGATCGAGAAGAGTGTGGACCGAACCTCGTTTCGATTTGAACTTGCCGACCTCACCGCCGTGAAAGATATTCTCGTGGACGAGGTCGACGCTCTGAGCGCTTGGCGACACCTTCCCGCGCAGAAAACGTCTGGCGTAGACGCCAATCCCTTACCACTCCACGAGGACCTGTTTCATGTTCAGGCTGGCGCATTGGGCGTGGCCCCGTCGGGGGGATTGGGCTCCGAGAAGATCTGCTGCAAACTCTGCACGAGAGAAGTTCAACGATCGAAAATGAGACTGCACGTGGGAGGTCACATTTTGAAGGACAAGGTGCGGGTGTTCTTTATTTTTTTTGGCATGGGAATGCAAGACCGGGTGAGATTTAACCTGTTTTGATACTGCTGTAGTGTGCAATGCTGTTTTGATACGTGCATGGCTTCGTTATTTTTCATTAGCATCGTATAGACTTCACCTGCGTGGCCTGCTTCACCCTGTCCCCTGTGTTATTATTTCGCGAGATGTTGGGCAACGGTGCTTACCGGACGCGCGTGGACTCATGCCGCATATTTCAATCCGGCGTGGAAATGTCAGCGGCACGCTCACGATCCATTCTCTCTCCCTTTTTGTTGTAGGCTTTGCAAGTGAGCACTGTCTGTGGCTTCTGTGGTGAGGTCGGGTGCCGCAGCACCATCCATGATCCACCAGGCAAGGCCAGGCCCCTGGTGCACTCGACCTGTCCATCAGCGCCTCGGAGCGACGCACGCCAGGAAACCGTAGCTCTGAACCTGGGCAGTGCGAAGGCGGGCTCAGATACCTCACCGTGCACCAACATGGTCTTGAAGTGCCTCTTCTGCTCCCAGGACACCTACATCTGGAAGTATTGCATGTCTGAGCACGTCACAAGATGCCACCGGGAGGACATACTTGTGGCGGCGGGTACGACGGTAGATAGGTTCAAGGAAGCCTACACTATCTCGGAGAGCGAGAAGGCCAAGGTACTCCAAAAATTTAAAGCCGGGAGGCCTCGCCGACGTGGTCAAGGAAACGAAGCCCTCCCCACTGGCGCACTTGGGAGCACGGAAGGGAACGGCACTTTCGGCCGTAACATGTCCGGCACCCGGTCCTTGGAGGACATGGGCGAGGAGGAAGAGGAAGAGGAGGAGGACGAGGAACAAGACGACGACGACGACGACGACGACGACGACGACGACGACGACGACGACGACGACGACGACGACGAAGATGAAGACGACGACGGCGACGGCGACGACGAAGACGACGACGACGAAGACGAAGAGGAGGAAGAAGTAGAAGAGGAAGAAAGGCGGGCAGGGGGGGTGGAAGGCCAAAGCAAGAAGCGACCGGCTCGCAGAAAACGTAGCGAGATACCGCGCGAGAACTCGGAAGTAGGGGTCCGCGTGAGTAAGCGGGGTAGAGTGATCAAGAAAAACGTAACCCTACAAGACCAAGGCTACTCGTAGATTTGCATGACTATGTTCTCTGTTGTGCAGTGCTAGATGCGGCAATGGCAAGTTTGCAAGGCAGGTGGTTCGATGTATGGTTCTTGGCTGAGCTGTTCCGCTCATTTCGAGTTTTGGTCGATACTGTATACTTTCGTAGATACGAGACTATCGTACGTGTGTGTGTTCCTCTAGCACGGCTGGGTGAGCATGGGCGACCATCGATGACGAGCAGATGCGGAAGGGGTAACGACAGCGAGGCATGTTTGCCATCCATCTAACCTTGCCTCATGGCAACTCATGGTAACTTTTCGACGGTTCACGGTAACTTGTCGAATTTCTCCCCCCTCCGGGGGGGGGGGGGGGGGGGGGCTATTTTTTTTAATTTTTTTTTCCAAAAACCCCTTGGAAAAAGGAAAAAAAAACGGAACTTTTTTTTCCCCTTCCCGGGAAAAAAAGGTTTTTTTTTTTTTGGGTTAAAAAAAAACCTTAATTTCCCTTGGGCCC